GTCTCAAACTTAGCTTGAAGTTGCGCGTCAAGCGAAAGAACGAAGGGAATAGGTGCTTGGAAGGGGGAGTGTTAGGCTGAAGTATACCGTACTGTTTGTCATGTGATGCGGACCTGTTTCGGAGTGCGCATGCTGTTGGATAGAGGAACGGTAGCCAGGGGTCTACATGTTCGGATTTCCTTCCAATATTATGACGCCATACTCCATCCTTTCAGGGTTAGATGTGGCGTGCACAGCAATCGACATCGACAAACCCTTCCAGGGAGGCGTTCCAGGCGGTATACCTGGGCTCTGCCATCGAATGCGAGCGTTTTGGCTGACTAAGGTCACGGATTCCTATGCAGTCCACGTACGAACGACTTAGTATTTATGAAAACCAAACGGGGTTTGTTGGGTATAGGATGCGCCTGGTGTGATATTAAAACGCGTTTACTCTCCTCCTAACGTGTGAGGACACGCCGGGTATCCTGACACATCGATAATACGGCTTAGCTACTCCGGGTACTCCACAACAAAGACTTTCATAATTATAGGGACTTGCGTACATTGGCTGCTTGTGCGATCGCAGGATGACGAATACCTTCCCGTCTGACTGGGTCCGATTATAGGTGTTCAGCCGGGTAATAGAGTTTCGATGGAACCTCGCTCTGCCAGCGTTACTAGAATCTTCACCTAATCAGTCCGGGCGGCCCTGTGTGAGAACGTAGCAGCTAGTCCAGCCGTGAGTAAATTCGCAGTGCATCCAGCCGCGGTGTCCGGCTCATCTTACCCTACTGTATGCACGAATATCTTATCAGGAAAGACACTAACAAGTAGAGCAACACTCTGCCCCAACTGGACCTGCCAAGGGCGTCATGGCTGACCGCTGTGACGCCCTCCTTCTTGGCTGTTGGTTTTAAAATTATGGAGAGCATTTCGGGTTCGTCGTGGCTTCAAGTCGGCGCTATACGGGACCTAAGGGTCACTGGAGATATGCAGCATCTCTAGGATTCCTTTAGATACCTCAAAGTCGAAGCTGAGCCACTTATCAAATTAATACAATAATTTAATACTTATAACTCGAGCCCTGCATTACCCGGAGTTGCTTTGCACTCAGCGGGTATCGGAATCTCGACCTCAGGGTGGTTTAGTTTATAATGATTAGCCGCTACGCACAAACCGCGTGGTGGCATTTTATCCTTTAGGTTGCAGGCAGGGAAAAGCCATAGTCCAATGGACGGTCTAATGTCAGATCATCCGTACCTTAATATGAGTTCTGATAGTTCATAACAATCGGTTTGGGTGAAAAGGTCAGCAACGTTCTCTGAGAATCATATTCACAAAGCTGTTACATGTCCAAATACTAACGGCGCGTTGTGGAACCTATTACAGTAGATGGAACACTAGCTTCCTCCATTAGACGAGTCTTGGAAAGTACACCACCGGTGACCAGCTAGTTATCACGACTGAACATGTTGTACCTACACATCCCGTTCAAGGGTTCAAAAGTTGTACCGTTGAGGCATAGTTAGTCTTAAGTTAATCAAGTGACCGACTTGGAGTCGAGCGTCACGCATAGCTGGGTTCTACGATGCGTAGGGCCGATGCATCATAGCACTCTTCGTAACAGTACATCTGATCTGCACGGTACCCTAGCAAATAACCCACAGATGTATAGGGATTGACGTTTGCCTCTTGTACTTCACAGATCCATCGTTGGGGGTCGCGCTTAGGGATCGCCCTCCCCTCGCTATATCTAACATGGCTATGCTCCTGCTCGCACGGAATTCCTCTTCATACGTGCGATCAACTGCACCGGGTTTCAGGTGAGTAGAATAGTTAAGCCCATATTTATCATTCTTGTTGCTAGGATCTATCAACATTTGCCATTCGAGCATCACGGGCGTCACCAGACATGACAGAACTACGCTCAAACCGTCGATAATGCTGGCGAGACACTGTTAACGCTTGACTCTCCCGGCGGTAAAACCAACTGGAGAAATGTTATAGTTTAAGATAGAGTGTTGCGAGCGATAAGGTAAGTTATAAAGATGCAAGTACGGCGTTTACTGAATTGACATTCCCCTGTCCGCCGCCTAAAACATCGTGCTAAGTACGTACTGGCCTAGCCGACTTGCTGGTGCAGTGGCTCAACGTGATCTGGGTCCAATGTTAGACATTACCGAAGTAGCGAGTCTAATGCTCTTGTTTAAAACGTCCATTTATACCGACACCACCCGATTTCCTACTATAGATCGTGACTCGAAATTGCAATCTTGTGAGCGCAGTCCCGGCACACATGTAACGTACTTTTGCGTATTCATAGTACGTGTTCACCGCGCGATAAAGTTGCCGTGCGTCCCAGTTCTTCGCCTATATGACATTGGCGAACTAGTGTCTTTGCTGTCACGTCCAGCTCCATTTGGGGAGGATCGTTTCACGCGTATTGTTCCCTAAGCTTAACGGTAGGATCTGGCTGGCAGTTTATTCACGTGAGCGGCAATGAGAATGCGCCATAGTCGTGTCTTATGGACCGGTGGCGAGGCGTCGTCGCCCATCGCAAGTAAGCATCGACTTGGTTCGTTAATTACCCACAGTGTAAACGCCTGCATGAATTTCAGCCATGCCATACTGCACTCGCTAACGAGGGTGGTTGGTGTTCTGATGCCCAGAAGCACTAAATCCGGAGACTAACGCTCATGATCTTTTCCCTTATCCGCTGCTAACGCACAGGACTCACAAGCACGAGGAACCAGAGTACACAGTTCAGTGCGAGTGTGTACCCCGTGGAGATTACAGGGCCCTACGACTGATTACCTTTGGGATCGAAACGGTTATGCCATGAAATTCCTATATAAGGCGGGTAAGAGGTTGAGCGACGAGCTTCCCGTTTGTTTCACGTCTCCCCCATTCTATTCAAATATGCACTGGACGCGAGTTGTGTTCTGAGCGGATTTCGCCTGGACTCGCGCGTGAAGAAAGATCACTGCCCACGACTTTCTCGCTGATGACGTTCGGGTGAGGCGGAATCACGATCTAAGGTTTGGTGTCGTGGACGGCCTATTTCTGCACTCGATGAGAGAGATTTCAAGAGAGAGGCAGATAGGCCATTAGGCGACTTCAACAGCAAAAAGCTATTGCGAAGACTAGACTGGCATTTCGCGATCGCGAAACTGACAAACGTTGCCGGTAATTCTGCGTAGAGTTGGACCGTAATCAATCACTTTGCCGAACGGCGCTCACACAGGAACCATGAACATAGCTTCGAAAGGTTCGCATCTTACACCTTATAGTTTACTAGCATACCGTACCCCACATATGTGGAGGTGAAATCGGCCGACGAGGCAAGCCTTACTTTACTGTGGCTTTTTTCACTGCTCCAGGGACTAGCACATAATGGCAAGCACATATATATGATGTATTCAGATTAAAAGGGAATAGGACGGCGATACACCCGTCGCTGACGACAGAAGCGTACCCCACCTAGACCTCAAATGAGGGATCCACTAGTGGGCCTCGAGCAAAAGCCAAGTATTACCGACGTCTCAGCACATAAGAGCCTCTACGGGTAGAAGTGGTTCAGCAGATACGTGGACGGTGTGTACTAGGGAAACATACGTGGGCGTACCCAGACGTCGGGGCAAATAAACTCCTTGTTAGGGTGTTAGGTCATGTCATGCTTGTAGCATCCCACCCAGAGAAGCCTTATTCATGGTGTTTTTCAGGGCACTTCTAGAACCTACTACTCGGATCGCGGCGAGATGCGCCTGGAAGCCGTGTAGTATCGCGCCTCCTGTCCACGCAGTCAACGTGCTCTAATGTAGCGATTAGATTTACAAGACTATCGAATGTCTGGGCCGATGATCGAACGAAAAGCTCAATTAGAAATTGGCGACGGTGCTCGGTTTATAGGGCCCAACTCTAGGGATTTATCATCTGATAGACAAACAGCATTGCCTTGAACCGGGGGTGATCGACATTCAGTAGCGAGGTGGACGATTTTGAACTATTGCGTATACGGTCTTAAGGTATAGTAAATGCAATGTCAAATCTGTGTGAGGTTGCGCAGCCTATCCTTGCAGAGCTCCACTCGAGCAGTGAAAAGCCTGTCTCAGGCTTGCGCGAACATCCTAGAAGCGGGTCATTCCCAGTTACAGGGTAAGACAGTACCTTCGAGTCCAAGGTTTCTTAACGGTAAGTCCCAACGATAAGAAAATTGCCTTCCACTCCCACTGCAATCAGGTTTGCCACATGCCCGAGCACTAGTCAAAGCTATAAGGATGGTGCGCGGGACAATCTGTTGCATTTACCGTTGTTATTCGCAGAAGCTTTCTTCAGACTGCGGACCTTCCAGTGGACGTATGATCATGGCTTGCCTCCGGTTACCTGAACTCGTTCAGTGGCCAAATGTAACCCATCATTCTAGCATCTTTTAATGCACTCGTCGAGGCACCATTGTCTCGAACCCTAAAATGGCATAAGGGAGATACTCTCTCCTATGCAGACTATTTAGATGGGAGTACTGAGGTGCACGCCTCCGTTCAAGCTAATACGATTAAAAGCTGGTCCATGACTAGTAGTCTGCCGGTGAATATCCGTGGGAGGGAACAGCTCCAACGTGGACGGTCCAACGCTCATCAAAGGGACGCTTGCAAATTGTTAGGCACACGAATGTGCTCTTGGTCGTCGGAGTGGACCAGAAACTATTATTAAAAACGGGATTGAATAGCCACCCTAAGTACAGTTGAAAGATTTTATGTTCACACAAGGGATTAGTTTCCTCCACTCGTAAGACGAGTCCGCCGCCATGGGGTTACGCTCGACGCGTGCGTATCCCGCGAACACAATTTTCGATGTGATGCTAAGGGTCCGGGTCATCGCTGCAGGCCGATCTAAATGACGTTCTACCTTGGATCATGCTTTCACATAGATCCTTCGAAGCCGGACGTCGGTCCAATCTCATAGAATACCACTCATCCATTCTCCCGTCGATCCACTATTCCTCGACTATGCAGGGTGTGAGCTGTTAGATCCGCGTAGGGTCGTCGTAATGTGGAGTTCTTGTAGCTGTGCAGCTTTGATCTTCGATTGATACATCGCCGTAAAATAGAGGAAAAAGGACTCACCTCCTGTAGCTCGTGCGCGGCTTCGAGGTAGCGATTCCCAAGACGAAGCAGTATGATGAAACCCTCAATTCTCCTAAATGGATTACCCTAGTTTCGCTCCATTTTGGTCCATTCAGAGCCTTGGACTTAGTTTCCAAAAGTTACGATCGAAACGAGGTCTCGGATCCGTTGCAAAAGTTGGCCGCTCGGCTGCGTAAGGTTCAACCGAGGGGTGTCATTACCAATGTGAATCGGAGAGGGCTCATTCCCGGCAAACATAGGGGAGCAAGAGTGGGACGCTCATAGATCCGTCAAGCACATTAGTCACGAAGGACTCTAAGCGTATGGTGACAGAATTATAGCTACTAACAAGCGATGCAGGACAAAGGTTGAGATTAACCCTAGAGGCTCAAGAAAAGGAGTGTGTGGTACAGAGCCGCCCACTACAGAACTCCCGTCCCAAAATCTTGGTAACTGGTGGCGGCGATATGTTAAGACAACCGATCTTTAATAACAGCGGGTAGAGCTTGGAGGTCTGAATGCTGTGGTCCCACGATTGGGCGCCAGAAGATTGGCTTAAGATACATAGGCTCTACCCCGCTACGCCGAATTTAATTTGTCACAGATCACAGAGCTCGTTCTTCTCACGATTCCCCAGCTCTCGTGAGCCTCGGGACGTACGCAGAGCGGCGCGATCCTGTTCCGGCGCCTCAATCCGATATTATGGGGGTCAGCCGCCGAATGACGCGCAAGACCAATAGGGCGTGACAGGGTTAACCCGTCTTCCCGGATTCTATAACGATAGACTTACATCAACGCTCATCGCACTATGCCTAAATTCGTGGTTAGGGCATATTCCGAACAGCTAAGTATATACATGTTGGCCGATTCGGAGACCGCGCGTGCAGTCTATTAGGTTAAGAAGTTGGAACACAAAAGTGATTGCGGCCCAGTAGCCACTACCGCTACCTGCTCTGACCCCATCATATACCGGTTTGGTTGCTAGGCCCAGAATCGAGTGGCGGACGCGTTTTAGTAGTGCAAGAAACCCAAGAGAATGAGGGCACCTTGACACAGCTGTATATAAGCCGGTTTGTTTCAGCCAGCCGGGGCTTAACCCAATATCCTATTGCGGCTTAAGTTAGTTTTGGGAGTAGGAACCAATTCGCACTGTACCTTTTTGGTCAGTTGAAAACACGCAATCATGAGTATATTCGTATATCACAAATGACTAGCACAAAGAAAACATAGCGGTTTAACAATAAAGAATCGCTTTAGTGCCCATGAATAGGTTTGGTTCCATGCCCCGGTTTCTGAATGTTTCAGATACCGGGTGCACGAACAACTATACTGCGCTTAGTAGGCAATGTAAGGTGGCTGGCTAAGTGGTCAACTTTCGCCAAATTAGGAGGCGTTAGCCCAATATCCAAGGAAAAGCTTAAACGAATCAGACATCGGCCTCAATCATTTGAGCAGATTCGGCAGCAATACGGAGTGCAATCCCATCTATAACATAACCTCAGGTGTTGAAAGTCAGATAAGGTCACTGGACTAACTGATACGGGTGGAGAGATGAAGATCTGCCTGCCACCCAGGAGCTCTCACAGGCTACAATAGTATTGCTTATCGTACCGTACACATACGCGGGTTTGGCCTCTCAGCTACTTCGGAGGCGTTCGCCGCCAATCCAACAAGGCACGGTCTTCTTTCTGTGAATTGAAGCCTAAATGTCGTACTTATCACCAGCTGCTGCTCTTCAATGTAGGAGGTCTTCTGAGAACCGCTCGGCATTCAGTTTGAATATAATATGCTTATGACTATCACAGCCTATTCGAATTAAAACTACCTACTGGATTTTTCCCGACTATCTGGTTACACCGCGTCCACCCTGAACCTGGGTGACACACGAACAGAGTTTATCGGATCTAACGCTAGCTGCTCTGCGCGTCCTAAAATGAAAATACGTCGACTTAGCTTCTGTACAAGCTCTACATCCGTTTAGTCAAGGTCTCGAGACCAATCGGGATTTGGATATGGGGTGAGGGTCCCTCACGGCATGCCCCAATAAAGATACTGGCGCCTGGGGCAACCATGCCAGTAGTTGATCCCCTTCACCGGCCTCATTTACCGCAGCTCATAGTCTTGACGCTCCCTTTATGGCTTAGTAGAGAGCACCTACGCCCAGGAAGTGGGCCGATGCATTAAACATCAAGCTGGGAATCACACAGTGCACAGAATCTAGGGGTTAGTCAACCATGCGGAAGGCCCCACGAGCGTGGCGTCCGAATACGGCTAACGGTACGGGTTATCTCAGCCGCGCGATGACTATTTGTGGCCAATTAACTCCAGTCGCCGCCTGCACTAACACTACATATATCAAATATTCACAATCCGAGTCCCCGGGGGTGCTGAGACCAACACCCGTACCGGAGATAGTTGGCCGCATGGATTGCTCCCTTAGTGGAAATGATAGCAGGGAGTTAACGTCGCTTGTAGAATTCCGCGGTCAAAACCTATCATGCGGTCTCTACTGTACACGCAGTAAAGGCATTGTATGGGGCATCTGCGACCCAGCGACCCATATCTGACCCATACAATTGTATGCTCTCCCGAACGGCGGGTTCGACAATACCGATTCTACAGGGGTATTGACCTGGTATGTTAGGCCTAGGATGTTGTAGTATTCGGGGCGTAACGATCTGCGGAATATTATATTTAGTAGTCCTGGATCCTTGTAGTACGTTAGAGGGGCATCTGGCAAAGCTACGAGACCGCCCGCAGCCCGAACAACTACCGCGAACCAGGAGCAAGCGCTACACCGGTTCGCGTGGACTGTCACCGATGTAGGAGAAGCAGCAAATTGATACCCAATCCGGAAGGTACAGGCGAGACACCTTGGAATTCACTCTCTGACGACGACCTTCCCTTGTGTATTTCGACCTCACACGAATATAAGGGCCGCCGGGATCGACCAAAAGTGTTACAAGACCACGAGGGCAGCTACCATCAGCAGGTACCATCTGCAAATACAGCTTCGGATGAGATGTTGGCTGCAGCAGCCTGTCCGAAGTCGCTTATGAACACCGTTCGAATATGGGCACTTCGCAGTAGAATCAAGCGAAGAACAGCGGCGTTAGTTTAGAGAGGGGAACGCTATCCACCTGTCCCCCGACCTGCGCGTTGTCAACACCAACTCTGCAGACTCACTATGTAATCCGGTTTCATACGAGTGGTCCTGGCCCGTTTGGGCCGTGTTTCACATCCGGTGCGTGTCCTCGATCGGTGCCTTGGCCAAAGCCATCTACGACAGAATGTTCAAGTGGCTGGTGGCTCGCGTCAACAAAACCCTTGACACAACCAAGCCGCGGCAATACTTCATCGGCGTGCTGGACATCGCTGGCTTTGAGATCTTTGAGGTGAATGTCTGCGTCCGTTTGTCTCCTACACCGCTGTGTGCGTCAGCCGCTTGCCTTCCACATGTTACACCGCCTGGAATCGGGATGCATTTGCCCCGTTGTGTGCCTAGAGCAGTGGCTCTCAACCGGGGGCACGTGGACCTCTGACCCCTGGAGTCCACGTGAGGGTGATGTATAAACGTGTGACATTACATCACCGTGCACGAGAGTCATTGGTGAATGGTCACGTGAGAATTTGGCGATGTAAAATAGCTGAGACACAATATCAATCCACATGGTAACCGAGAACAATATGAAAGACCTTTCTAAACTCGTTGATGGTAAACGATGCGTGTTTACAAGAGGACCCAGCAAAGCGCAAACAAATGATGTCACGCGCGCAGCGTCCGCGTTGATTTTTTTTATTCTTTTACACGCTTTTTATGAACTCGCTCTGTCTGTTGTTGTTGTTGTGTCCTCAAATCTTGTAACTCAATTTTAACCCACTTCCCAATGTGGTATCGACTGCAAACTTCGTATACTTATGTCATACTGATGACAATACTATATTCTATCATAAAAATAATATATATTTTTTAACATTCTTTTTTATATGTAATGTTTCGGCTTGGGTCTAATTGTCCACGGTCAACTGACGTTGGCTGTAATTGGCCACGGTCCCTTACGTTATGGCAAGCCTCGGGACCACTTCCTAGAGTCGTGGAGTTCTGCCATTACTAGTAAATTTCATTTAAGCGTGTATTTTTTTTTTAAGTTTATTTTTTATATTACTTATTATTCGCTTGCAGTCACTCGCGAGTTAGGGACACCTCACAAAATGGACAATTGGTTAAAATATTTACGTTCATTGTTCATAACATTTATTTCTCAGAACCATGTTGGGGGTCAGGCAAGACGGGGTGGGTTACTCGGTTGTAACAAGATTCAACAAGGGGAGTTACAGCAACCAAACAAACGTTGAGATCCACTGCCCTCGAGCAATAATAATAATTAGTCTGGAATGCTACGTGACTATCATTTTTAATAGAGGTTTTTTTTTTGTTAGATCGCGTAAATATATAAATGTGTTGTTAAACCCGCCACCCACCGACACAGCCAACTCGTAAGGGTTGTCATGTAAACAGAACGTGCCAATTCGTCACTAGTACAGCAACACCGGTGTGGTGGAGAGCCAAGCCACAACATTTACAATCTGAGTACGACGTGCGTTAAACTAACTATCATTTTGTTGACGGGGGAAAAAAACGAATAAGAGTAAAGGACACATCCTTTACGGCTCGGCTCGAAACGCGGCCAGCCCCATAAAGTGTGGCCAGGCCCTGAATATATATTAGATGTTGAATGCTGTGTGTCCTGCAACACCCACACCTCTTAGCAAAGTTCTGCAGTGTAGAGGAACACATTTGTCCGTACAACGTGAATCATTAACCTGGTGAGTTATGTTGATTGAAAGCCCTTCTCTCCACCTGTTGTTCAGATATCACCCACTGAGGATTATTACGTTTGTCTTAAACTTCAGAGTCAAACCTCTGCCAGCTAGACACACTGGGGTGAGATGCATGCTGGGTATGGGCACTATCCGGCATACTGCACGTAATTGATACCAATGCGTGCATGTAATGAAAATGTAATGCAGTTTTCATCAAAGACATGTGATTGACAAGGAATAACAGTCGACTATATAAATACACAATGTACATTTTTGTTGCAATTGAATAGCAAACGAATCACTGTTGTGCAGTTTTAATCTGGGTAACTGTGAAGCAGATGATGAAGCTAGGCCCAATGTTTAGTGGTTGTGGAAGGTTGCTGGGCTTGAAGCATTTTTATTGGGTTTATATAATAATGGAACCAAAAACATTGTGCAAAATCCAGAGCACTAGCAACGTACACAGCATCCAGCATAATGGATTTCAGAACCCCATGCAACAGACAAGCAGAGAGGTATAGCATTTCTACGTACGTATCAATGTCATCCTGGACACCCGTGCATATGAGATGTTCCATTTGGAGGGATTTTTCCAGGTGAACTATTTTCGTGAATAAAATGAAATTAAAGTGTACACGGTGTAGATTGTCGCTTTAGAATCGCGAGTGCACACACGCTGCCACGATTCAATCACGCGCACACGCAACTCAGAACAATGGCACCTGCAGAAAGTGGGAGCACAGTACTTAGTGTTATATTGCTCAAAGGTTGAAACTCGAAAATCCTAATGGGTTCTAAACGTGAGTGAGTGACGATGCCGATATTGAAAGCGACGATGACTTCGTTTGTGATGACGACGACGATGATGACGATGATTATGGTTGTGTCGCCAACGTGCCTGCGTGAAGTTCAACAGCTTCGAGCAGCTGTGCATCAACTTCACCAACGAGAAGCTGCAGCAGTTCTTCAACCACCACATGTTCGTGCTGGAGCAGGAGGAGTACAAGAAGGAGGGCATCAACTGGGTCTTCATCGACTTCGGCCTCGATCTCGCTGCCTGCATTGACCTCCTGGAGAAGGTTTCATGTCCAAATTTCAATTTGCCTTACACTTTACTTGTGTGTGTGTGTATAGTGCCATAAGCGTGCCATAAGCATGCAACGTGTATCCAATCCTGAGATTCGCTTCTTTACAAATGGCTGTATGGGAAAATGTCCCTGGCATTTCAGCATTCCAATGCGCGCCATGGCCAGATGCATGTTGTGCGGTGTGCGTTTATTGTGTTTGTTATTGCTGTTGATTGGAAAAACAAGTTCTGGGCTGTTTCGCAGAGTTACGAACAGGCCCAGTAATGAACGCGGCCTGAGCAGTATGAATTTCCATGCTGAGCGCAGAGGCAGCGCTCATAAATACATCTTGATGCGAAGCTCTTCCTGAATCCCAATTAAACCAAAGCAATTACCAATGGACATAAAATTCACAACAACGAGGCTGCCCACATTCATCATGGCCAATTGAGATTGCCTCCAAAGACAAAGATCCCCCGTATAGCCTGTAGCAGACGGTTGTGGCAAGTGCTGTTAACGAGCACCTATGAAGGCCGGCACGGCACACGAAAGGGTGGGTGGTGAACACCACACCCGGTCGCCTTTGTTTCCCCAATGCCGTTGGTTGCATTTATGTTGAACTTCTTCCGCATCATACGTAGCCAACCGTGCAAATCGGAGGTTAGCACTCACTTAACGCTAAAAGTCGACCTCGGGGAGGTCCAGGACCGGTTCAAATAATTGTCACCGTTGTTGGCCGTGAGCGAGACTCGAACTTGGGTCACGGGGTTCATCACGTAGTGTCGCGCTAACCGCTTCACGGCGCTAACGAACCCAGCGGCAGTGTAGCGCTAACCGCTAACCGCGACACTGCCACCCCAGCCCACCTTTAACGTGCGGTTCGTTTTTTTTCCAGTAATTTCTATTTCTAACGTACTTCTCCCCTGTGCAGCCGATGGGCATCTTCTCCATCCTGGAGGAGCAGTGCGTCTTCCCCAAGGCCACGGACGCCACCTTCAAGGCGGCCATGTACGACAACCACCTGGGCAAGTCTGCGCCATTCCAGAAGCCCAAGGCGGGCAAGAAGGCTGGGCAAGAGGCCACCTTCGAACTCGTCCACTACGCCGGCACGGTAAAAAGGCATCCCGACAAAGCGTGCACACGAGTCGTGCATAAGCTGAGCGCGTGATGGCTCAGGTTACAGTCACCATCGGGCAGCCGCTGTCAAATTGGCTTTGTCCGCGAAGGCCGACGTGGGAATTTTGACAAAAGAGATTTAATGGACGGGGTTTAGTGGTCGTGGGTGAATGAAGAAAGCTGATGTCATGTTCGTGATGCATCCATCCGTCCGATCGATCAGCTAATGACCTTCACTCTTGAGTCACCCAGCTTCGCTGGCAACGGCACTTCAAGTTTTCTAACATCAAATGTTATTGTGTGGGGGCTAAGCTTTATAGCGTGCTGTTAAATTTCACAAGGGGCTGGTCTTGTTAACTTTCTATAGGGCTCCGCAGGGTCACTCTGTCACACCGTCACCCGTTGCGCTTTGCAATTGTGCCGCTGTGTAAATTTAGTGGTTAATTCAATTACCCCGCGTTGTTGGGAGGTCGCCAGGTTAGCTCAGGGGTCCGGAGCGCAGAGACGGCGGTGCCGAGAGCCCGCGCTTGAATCTGGTCGTGATTGAACCGGGCTATCGAGTCTAATCATGAGTCGGTTGCCTCAGGCTAGCTACCAAAATGCCTGCATGAGAATTAAAAAAAAAACACGAAAAAGGACGCAGCGTGACATTTGTGTGCTGCACTTCCATTTGGCCAAATTTCTGGCGATGAGAATGAATAAAATACCGTCTTGACTGTCAATGCGACAAACATGACTCTGTGCCAAAGCGTGCATGAAAGTGCTGCCCCCTAGTGTTTAACTCCGATTACTTGACGAGATTTCCTAAATTCTGTGACTATCTCCTTACAACGGATCGTCGGGGAGGGCAGAGAAAGCGCTTCAAGGATGTCCCTTCGTCAAGAACAACTTGAAGAAGGGCACCAACTCATGGATCACCTCAGCAAAGGCGTCGGGCGTGGTGCTGGCCACCCACCCCTCGTGTTCTGTTCCGGCCTTCATAGGTGCTCGCTAACAGCACTTGCCCCAACAGTCTGTTAAGACTATACGGGGGGATTTTTGTCTTTGGGGAGGGGGGGTCGGGAGAAATGCACTTCTCTTGAAAATTGGGGACGAACCGATTTAACATATAAACACATGCAACTGCGTCGTCTCCCAGGTGGGCTACAACACGCAGGGGTGGCTTGAGAAGAACAAGGACCCGCTCAATGAGACGGTGGTGAGCCTCTTCCAGAACTCCAGCATGCCCCTTCTGTCAGTGCTCTTCAAGGAGGAGGAGGCAGCAGGTGATGCTCGCAACGAGGTGCCGCGAGGCAAACGCAACCCCTTGTCAGTGCCCTACCTTATTACAGACCAATTCGGACATTATTGGTCACCTCCATGCCACCTTGTGCATCTCAACGTTCATCCTACAAAGTCCCATCACAAGAGAGAAACACAAACAGACACAAACATGTTGTTGCCCGTATTGCAACGGCTGCATGCCGTATGGACCTGAAAACTCAATTTCCCTACACAATAATAACCCGTATGGGTTGACAGCTGTTCGTATGCCCGAGTGCACGCCAAAGTCGTTTTGGCAGGAACCTCTCGCTCGCCAATCAAGGATGGGGCGCTGTGTGGTGCAGTCCCGTCAGCCACCACACTCCCAGGGCCACTTGCCCCAGGAGTCAGCTTTGTCTGCGTCTCTGCTCGCTACTAACCGCACTTGCCCCGCAGTTTGTTCGAGGCTACACAGGGGAGCTCTGTCTGTGTCCTTGCTCGCTACTAACCGCACTTGCCCCAGCAGTCTGACAGAGGCTTCACAGGGGAGCTTTGTCTGCGTCTCTGCTCGCTACTAACTGCACTTGCCCCATCAGTCTGACAGAGGCTACATAGGGGAGCTTTGTCTTCGTCTCTGCTCGCTACTAACCACACTTGCCCCAGCAACCTGTTAGAGGCTACACGGGGGAGCTATGTCTGCGTCTCTGCTCGCTACTAACCGCACTTGCCCCAGCAACCTGTTAGAGGCTACATTAAAGTATGCATAAGTACATTAAGCGACATTTCAGACGCTTCTTCAGGCACAAATGTGCTATGAAGGGGGGCCATTGCCCAGAACGTCGCCCATCACATATCAATTATAATTGATACGTAATCAATTGTAATGATTTGATTACATAATGGTGCCACAGTTACGTGGTGGGTAGATTTTTCTCCGGGCCCTCCGGTTTTTCCCTCTACATTTAGAATCAACGTCACGCATTCATAGTATTTGGCTGCTATACATTTCCACGTGATAAGCCACTTCGTTGGGCTATCGTTTGTGGCCAGGTCGCTTCTGAAAAAGAGCTACATAGCTCATAGGGCCTTTCCGGGTAAAATAAAAAATTGCTTAGTTTTTATTTTAGTTTTTTTTTGTTTCATTCCCAGCCAGAGCTAACATCGGTGGTGAGTGATATCTTAACCAGTCCTTGACCTCCCCACCCATGCCCTCCACCAATCCACACTGACCAGCGTGATGAAGAACGGCCAAATGACCTCCAAGCCCAACACGGCATGCGGAGGCCTTCATCCAGCAGTGGCATGATGAAGTGATTGAGATCGTTGTTTATGATTGTGAATGTGTCTATTTACGCAATTTTTGGCGTAAATCTACCCCTTGTTTCCGTTACTAATTGTGGTAAAAATCAGCTAACGTGATGCATTTTTAACATTACATCAGCATTGATAAGATAATAAAGCAACAGTGGCACTTAATAATCACAACCACAAATAGCACATACACGGTTGCGCCATTGAACAGTAAGCGAGTGACTTTTCAAATAATGACTGTGCACGTCACTGTTCTGTTCTGAAAATACCTCGTGATGAATTTCGATTTAAAGCTTTCGTGACTGCAGGGATTCATCTTCTTGGTTCTTTCGGTAAAGTCACGTAGAAGGGAAATAATAAAATAATAAAAATAAAACATAATAAAATTATTCTCACGACGTTTCGGCCACAACGCAAGCAGCCGTCCTCGGGTGAAGAACAGGTCTGTCGGAAAGACAGCGTCTGAATGGGCACCACCAGGCTTGGCAGCGTATATTTAAGCTCGTGATGGTTAATTAATGATTTAGAATATGTAACTGGGCTTTGTTGTTACGCGTTTATTTTGTCAAAACCACAATGCACAGGCACAACTGGCACAAGAGCGGAGTCATCGCTGTGAAAGCGACGCGTCGTTCTTTATCTTGTCGCATCTACTTTACTTCCCCCCCCCCCCCCAGCCGGCGCCAAGCAAAAGCAGAAGAAAGGATCGGCCTTCCAGACCGTATCAGTGTTTTATAGAGTGAGTTCACCTTCCTTTATATAATCCAGCTTTTGTCTAAGTGTGTGCTGCACAAGCACAAAAGAGCCTTTTTCGAAATGTTTTGCCTTTAATATAATTTGTATTGCCTTGGAAAGGAGCATTGCCCAAAATGTTTGCCTATTTTCATATATATATGTTTTCCTTCTTAAAAGCGTGGACTTGTTTTTTGGCAATCCAACTGGATAATCGGCACAACTTGCACGCTTTTTCACCACTGTGATTTTCATCTTTCATATTCAATCTCGAAGACAGAGAGCAGATCGATTTTATTTATTTCAGCAGTAAGGGCCCAATGAGTTGTTAAGCCCTATTTCACAGGCGTCCTGCGACAGGTACAGACGTTATACAGAACAGATCTTAGCAACACAATCGCGGTTACGATGCATTCAGTAAGAATCTGCTTTAATGATATATCACACGCGGTGTGCTCTCTGTAGAGACAATTTGTGTTTCCCACTGCTGCGTTCTGCAATCCAGGAGCAGCTGAACAAGCTCATGGCGACTCTTCACAGCACCTCTCCTCACTTTGTCCGCTGCATAGTCCCAATGAGTTCAAGAAATCAGGTGAGCTAAGTCTCATCGATAATAAAGTACCGCTGATTTATTGAAGTGTAATGCGTGCAGGCTTTCGTGATTAATATTATGATTCGGAATACATTTCTTGGGGCCAGAGCACGTAAGGAGAATGTGTGTCCTGTACCCTCCTCCGTCAAAGACAGCCGATTAATAACAACGCTGTCACGCGATAAACAGACAAAGCGATTCATCTTCTTGGTTCTTTCGGTAAAGTCACGTAGAAGGGAAATAATAAAATAATAAAAATAAAACATTATAAAATAATTCTCACGACGTTTCGGCCACAACGCAAGCAGCCGTCCTCAGGTGAAGGACGGCTGCTTGCGTTGTGGCCGAAACGTCGTGAGAATTATTTTATTATGTTTTATTTTCTACGTGACTTTACCGAAAGAACCAAGAAGATGAATCCCTGCAGTCACGAAAGCTTTAAATCGAAAAAAAAAGGCAAAGCAATGTATCACCGCTTCGGAAGCACCACCGCTGTTGTTGGAGAGGAATCCATGCACATTTTACAATTGGGTACCACGTTCCGCCGGTCGTCATGACCAGCATCCTCATGTGATCTGACCCAACACAATAATTGTGCATAATTATTGAAGTGTGTTCGTCACTCTGCTTGTAACTCAAAACCAAATGTAAAACGAGGATGAGCAACGAACTAAAAGTAAGCAAAAAAAGCAACATTTCCATGTTGCACGTGTTTTTTTTTTGTATTTCAAAAAGCGTGACCTGACCTGGAGAGCAGGCAATACCGTTTCAAGGGGCCATTGGTCCGTTGTGATTACTTTCTCGGAACACCTATGGGTGGATGTCTGAATTACTATATTTTTCAAATCATCGTCCGTCATACTGCTACCGATGTGGGAAAAAGATGCTTCTCCATTATTCTGCTTTTAACGAATGAAATAAAACTACAGTGGTACAATAATCGTTCCCTGTGTGCACGGGATAGCCTTCCTATGCGCTGGGCTGCAGTGGCGAGACCCTGGCGTTTATCCGCCTGGGGTCAGTGGGGCATTGACCTGGCCGAGTGAACCGCAGACGTTTGCGGTTCAAGCCCACGTGGCCATCCCGTTGAAGACTGTGCGTGAATTGACCAAAACATATTTTCGCCTTCTGCTTCACAGTGGATGACTGAGATCATAGTAAAACAAAATATATATATAAGGAGATGTTTTGAAAACTGTCCTTCCGCTTTGAAGAAGAGCCTTACCTGAAACTTTGTCTTCTGTATACTTTTGTATTGCTCTGGAGAAGGGGTTGTACGCCGTGTGTGGCGGCCAATTTTTTTTATTTCGTTCAATTTTGAAAATTACTTTCAAATTACAGTTGAGTAAAGGCAAGCGCACAGCAACGTTGGCCGTCTTGTGTAAAACGACTGCAGACTATGATTGTCTATAACACGTGGCGACTTCTTTTATATAGCCTTGCACTATAAAGAATGGCACAAACACCAAAAGTGCTTTTGAATTCATTTCTATTCAAGTTGAAATCTTTCCTGACACCTTCCTTGCTCGACAGGGCAGTGCATGTATAATTTTACCCGGCACTTTTTGAGGCACTGTTGGTAGATCATGCAGAAGGGATCGCGTGACGTGATCACAGATTGGTAGGTCTACGAAAAGCCAGGACAGCAAATATGTTACTCACATAACCAGGTAAGGCCCACTGAGCTACGTAGCTCTTTTTTCAGAAGCGACCTGGCCACAAATGACAGCTCAACGAAGTGGCTTGTCACGTGGAAATTTATAGCGGCAACCAAATATTCAACATACCTGGCGAGACGGCCCAGCACGTTGGCCGCTTGCAGTTAACGGTTCGAATCCAGCGGCCGCCCTGATTAATACTGCAAGTGTAATCATAATAATAATGTGTGCCGACGTCAGGGTCATAATTTCCCATATTCGAAAATTACCTGCAAATTACTCGATTGGGATTCTACTTAGCGACTATTGCCACGTACTGGCAGACTCATGCACGAGCTCACTCTTGCAAACGAGACTCATCCTGAACTCTTGATTTCTCAACTGGTTCAACAAAATACACTTAACCTAAGTTAACCGTCATCCGTAGGCTTTTTTTTTTACCGTGCGCTGTTTTTTTTCCCACATGCAAACATTCTCGTTAAAATACCCAACGCTCCTGAACAAGTATTGACCAACCCTGTGGCGTGACCTTGTTTAAAGGGGGAGGGTGGGGTGGGGGTATACAAAAACCCAGGGGCGGGTGGTGGGGAGTACACGACACAGTCAGCAAGGTTGGCACGTACGGTGCGAAAAAAGTTCAACATATCAACGTAAACAAGCTGCAAACAAATGTGAAGCGGATCGAAAACGATACGATCTGCATTTGCCTATCGTGCATGATGCTCCAGCTCTTCAATGGATTGCGTTAACTCCACTGGCCGGTAGGCAAATAGCAGTGGCAAGACAGCGGAATCTTCGTGTAGAGTCGGAATCAGGGCCAGTGACGCAGCTGAAGGAAGCTGGTCCTTGGGAGGGAGGGGAGGGAGGGGAGGGAGTGGAGGGAGGTAGGGAGGGGAGGGTAGGGTAGGAAGGGGGGAGTGAGGGGGGAGGGAGGGAGGGGAGGGAGGGGCCTTTTTAGCCACCCCAGACCCGTCCAGATCTTGGGACATTCAGTTTTTCAAGGTTACATGAAAACAACAACAATTATTCTTAAGTGCTGAAATGCATCATGATTTATGCAAATGTTCTTTATTTTCAAGTCATTGCGAGTGAATTATTCTCACCGTATAACAAGTGAATGGAAGGTCAATAAAAAAAACCTGGAATAAGCAATGAATCTAGAAGTTGGCAGTTAATGTCATCCTGCCATTCACATGTGTAAAATGTTCGGGGCACACCAGATGTCAGAGGCTGTAACCATCAAGCAACACTGCAGCAGTTGTAAACCAAGAGCGATATTGCTTTTGCACAAATTGGCAATTTTTATTTCCTAAAAATAAACACTATCTGTAAAATGATGCAACTAAACGCAACGACTAGGAGCAAAATAAGCCGATAAAAAAATCTTAAATTCCAATTTGGAATTGAAATCAGTTTAACCACACACTTTAAGTGCATACATACTATACATACGAGTATAACACACAAGCAGATCTCTGTTTTCAGCCACGGAAATATCTCAACGTTTCCAGATTTCTTTTAACACCATAGACATGGAATTGAGCTTGGCTTAAGACGTCCATCACATAATTTGAGGCTTGTGGGCAATTAGAATTTCCATTCTAGCAAAGTACGATTCGTCGAAATCCTAATGCCGTCCTGCAGAGACAGGCGGCTGCATTCCTTGAAGTCACATTCTTTTTTTGCGCGGAGGTTTTCGTGAATGCGACGTGCGGCCCACACCGTTGCCCCGTCGCCTCTGTGTTCTTGCTGCTGTGTGATCTAACGGCTTCTGGCCTGACCTTCACGCAGGCATGGTGGACGCTCACCTCATCCTGCACCAGCTGGCCTGCAACGGCGTGCTGGAGGGCATCCGTATCTGTCGCAAAGGCTTCCCCAACAGAACTCTGTACCCCGAGTTTGTGCAGCGGTAAGCCTGACCACCCATCCCGTTGCTGCCAGCAAATCACAATTGCCTCCGTGACAGAGTCGCAACCGGGTACCCGATACCCGTACCCTACCCAATACCCGGCTACCCGTACCCGGCCAGGTACGGGTACGGGTATCCATTTGCGACCCTGGTGCGGCCGGATACGGGTACGGGTAGGCCGTGAGTCACTGGTGAGTAACCGTTTGTCACTCATTTCGGGTAGGGTATGGGTAGGGAACGGGTACCCGTACCCGGCCAGATACTGGTACCCATTTGCGACCCTGGTACGGCCAGGTACGTGTACGGGTAAGGAATCAAAATCCGTTTGCGACCTCTGCTCCGTGATCAAAGAGACGTCGGAAGGTGCGCGCATCTGCTCAGGGGCGGGGAGATGGCCGAGACGTGAAAGCACGTTCGCCACTTGTTGCATCGTTGCTGTTGGAGCCCAGCGGCCACCCTGGGTAACACAGTGGAGTAATTAAACTTGAATACTTGCATTCTGCTTCGTGGTGAACGTCAACGACCTCATGACGTTCTATTTTTTTTTTTTAGTAGGCTATGTGTGCCAGTGTCATAGTTCAACTTGGCAAAATTACCAAAATTACTGAATATTAAACTAGATTCGAATATTACTTAAATGTGGAAAAAACAGCATAGTAACAATGCCCCCCACTGCTAAACCAAGGCCCATTTGCAAGGCCATCTTGAGTCACATAGGGAGATCTGCCGTTCGGGGTCTCCTTGGCCATACTGCAGTAGGGCATGGTCGAGATCAGATGTGATAAAGCGCATTGAGACATTTGAGTGCATTACAAATGCAAATTCCTAAGCTTAAATGCAAATCCGTATTTGTTAGTGGCCCTGAGTGAGTCACAAAATCCAAATTTCCTTGCCTGGGGGGCAAGCTTTTTCATAGCGTGGCATCTGTTAACTTATCCCAAACTACAGCAATACCTGCACTTATTGTATTGACTCTGTAGGCATGATGAGTTGAGTCATGCGCCCGTCTCGAAAGCTGAGCGAGTCAAGATCCTCCAAATACGGCGCACACCTGAAGTCAATTTATATCAGCGGCTGTCAAAATATTTTGTTTAAGAAGTAACAGCAAAGTTACTCTAGATGTATCCGAGGCTCTGTCCCTGGGTGCTATCATTCCACATGCACATCCTGTTTTGTCAATCCGCCGCTGTATGGACGGCCTCCCCATGCTCTCCATGCCATGGGGGATTCGTGTCCATGCTTCACCACGCTGGTCAGTACCGGATGGTCAAGGAGGGTGGGAGGGGGTACAGAACAGCAGTGGATTTTGCTTCACTGCCCTCTACTGCCCACGTGTGTTATACGCATGCTGGCGACCCGTCCAAGCACTATCCAGGCTCAACATCTGCTAAGCTTCCGAGATCAAACAGGGTTGGATGCTTTGCGCATGATGTTGTCGTATTTACGCGGCATTACTACCTATACAATGATATATACTCAACGCATGATTGCTATGTTTAAAGATAGAAATTTATTACCAAGTTATCAAAAAAATGTTGATATGTTTACATGTGTGTGTATACTTTACAGAAATAAAAACACGTCTGTGTATATGCTGTATCGCAATGTGTAGTTGGTAGATTTTCTGTCAAAAAGTGTTTATGTAGTTCGAGATTCATGACACATTTCGATTTTTTTAAAAAAACGTGTTTTTTTTAAAGGAATAATGTCACCGTGCGTTTTCTTTATCTCTTAGTTACTCAATCATTAACCCAGTTGCTGGAAAGACGGAGACTGATCCTAAGGCCATCACAGAGAAGGTTTTGAAATCCACATATCTCGTGGAGGATGAGTATAGGATTGGCTTCACAAAGGTGAGAGAGATGCAAAGCGTTGCAAGCAGAAACGGGGGACCGATTCGTGCATGTGCTTTCAGCGCCACCGTTGCCCTGGAACAAAATAATATTCCATTGAAAGATTAATATTTGTTGATTTTGCGTGGAGTAAAATCAACAAATATCATACGAATGTTTTTGCCGTGGTGAAAGTGAATATACATTTGCATGTATTTATTTATTTATGTGGCGTTGTGATTATTATTGCATAATCGGGTAGTGGCGTATTTATTCATACTGATTGATTTAAAATGGGGAACCCACCCAAACAACATAGTTTATGAAGTCACATTGGTACTTCATTTCATTATCATCATCATACTGATCAATCAATTGCTGTATGAAGGACTCCCGAAGCTGTCACCCTCTCTGAAGATCCCACGATGTAAAAGTCCACTTGTACCCAAAGCTGATTTCATGAAGACGATTGCTGTGTTGCGATCGAAACGTCGTGATATTTTTTATTACTTTTCTATCTACGTGGCTTTACCGAAAGACCATAGAATATGTATTCCTGCAGTCACGAAAGATTCAAGTCTGATTTCATCACTCCATTTCCTCGGCACGTTTAATTATTCTTGACCATCGGCCATCATTCATCCCTTCCAGCGAAGTGCCCTTCCCCAATCCCACTTACTTTTCCCAACAGTTTAAACAATTGTCATGTACCGACCCATGTTCTCTAATAAGTGTGTTCCTCGTTCTGTCCTTCAACGTAAATTCCACGTTTTTGCTTTTTGTAGTTGCACGTTTCAGTTTTGTTCCATAATTATATATTTCTATTCAAAGAGAAATTTTCTCTTCAGGGGGTAATCGCACTTGAGCCATTTGCATCCCTTGTGCAGGTGTTTTTCCGGGCCGGCGTTCTCGGCAAACTGGAAGACATCCGCGACGACTGCATCTGCCGCTTCATCACCAAGCTGCAGGCCTCTTGCCGCGGCAAAGTTTTCCGCCGTGACTTCCAGAAGGTCCTGGACAAGAGGTGAGTTGATTCCCTGCCATTTCCATGTATTATTAAGGGTCTCCGGCATCTCGGGAACGGTTGTTGGAATACCTCTTTGGCGACATCCATTATTTAAGGACCGTTTCCGCTTATTTATTTGCTGCATGCATTTAACTAAAGGCATGAAATATTAATTGACTCATGATCAGAATTATACTTTTTCTTTTGTATGCGTCGCTTTGGCTTGGCCTTAAAAACAGATTGTGGGCTCTTTTGAGTAATTTATAAAAATGGAAATGTTGCAGCGTTTTTTTCTCTCGACAAAATGTAAGTGTTGTTTTAGATACTGGTAAATCAAAAGGGCAAAAACCCGACTGCTCATCAGCCAACATGATCATCATCCAAGCCTTTGCTTCGGTTTTATTGTTGTGTTTTAATATCAGTTCGATAAGTGTTCATGACCAGATAATGCAATCATCAAGATCCAGGCAAACTTTGCAGTGTAACGAGGACATATTGAACTAAAATGTCACAGATGTAGCTGCCTCTCAGTGTCACGTCGTTATAAATTGCCCAATTACGGCACCAGTTGCACGAAGTCGGCCAAAAATTCCACATTTAACGTTTTAACATTCGCGTGATGACACAGTAACGTGATAGCGCGCCGATATTTTGTGACTCCAGCGGTTACAAAATCGAGGGAAATCAATAGGTTAATTATGTTTACGCGACCCCAAATCGGGTTGTGTGCTTGTGCTGTCGGCACGGTCGGTCATTAGAGAGCGGCGCTCGTCGTCACATCGCGACACAAGCCTGGCTCCTTCGCGTTCGCGAAAGGAGGTCAAAGGCGGGTCTCGTCCTATTATCTGGTTTTACCGTGCGGTTGAGTTTCACGGGGGGGGCTGGGGACCTTGATGCCTGCCCCCGATAGCGAGTGCGGTAGCATGGACGGGCTGCCCGGCGGTTGAGCCGAGGGAATGTTTGGGCATGGTTTTTGCCCCAGATAACGACGTTAAAGCCCGGCTTTGAAGCCCACCGGTCTAAGTACACCGGTGAGTTTACGAAGGAAAAGAAAAGCGGGGGGAGGGGGGGGCCTTTGGCTTGACAAGTGAATGTTTCTGCTGTGCGGAGCGGCACGTGGGGACAGGCACGAGGCATTAAAATGTGTCGCTCGCAAAATGCTGCTGTGGAGTTGAAATCTAAATCTTACCAAAACAAACACTGGAAGAAAATACTCGACAATACCTGAGCAATTTGCAGAAATATACAAATTGCAAAATTATTGATTCCCGTGAGCACAATTTCATATACTCGAGTATTATTTACCTATTAATGTGTGTATATTGGCAGCTGTTGGTGTCGGCTCTTCAGTCCTAGAAGAGTGTTCCCTCATGAGCGTGTTTGTAAACACGCTCAAACTAATTCTAGATTTCTTTTACCTACGTGACTTTACCAAAAAACCTTAGAGTACGCTAAAACTAAACTGATGGAGTGGCGAGGCCTGCCTTCAACAATGGATTGAGAAAACGGCTGCGACACGTCGCACTGCCCTTGATACCTTTTATGAAGCCCAATGAAATCTGGAGTTTTATTTTGGGGTTTTTTTTTTTCTCGTGCGTGCGTGCGTTCTCTCAAACAGGGACGCCATGGTGATTATTCAGTCCAACGTTCGAAGCTTCCTTCAGCTGCGTCACTGGCCCTGGTTCCGACTCTACACAAAGGTACTGCTCTGCCCTGCCACGTGTAGGTAACGGCAATCCCTTCAGGTGTTTAGCATTCACAATGTGACCATACATGTATTTCCCTTCAACGTTACGGGAATTTATAGCAACTGGCGTGGCCGATGTAGACGCGCCCTCTCAACAACACACGCACACTATTTCATATATATACCTTGACGTATATATACAGTGCTGTGTATATATGACTTAAGTAAAGGAATAATAACGTATAGGCTTATGAGCAGGCAACCACAGATGTTTAACTTATCAGGCATTTGCAAAGACATCCACTGCGCAGTATGAAGATGGGACTGCGTATGTGCGTGCATTCCCAACAATGCATTCATCAACGTGCAGCAGTAACACAACAATTTGTCTAGGCAGATAGCATTTTGAATTTTTATTTTCCCGTCCTCCCACTTCCTTTACCGAACACTGATGTATGCAGATAGAAACATTATTTCACATGCTACCGAACCGTGACGTTTCCATTGGAAATCAAATATTTGCCAGAAAAAAAACTCGCGTTGGGAATTTAAACAAGCCTTCCAGCCTGTATTAACATATGTTTGGAAGGCTCTGCATATGACAAAAATATATAGTAATAATTCCACCCATGCTCAATCCATCAACTGATGAACACTTGCCCACATCATGTCAGTTACGGGGTCTTTTTTGACCATACTTCGCCACGCTGGTCATTGCGGGTTCGGCGAAACGGGTGGGGTCGGAAGAGAGAGCAGGACCATTCGTGGTACCACTCGCCACGGATATGAGCCGTGGCGACCGTGAATCGAGCTCAGGTCGTCAGATTCGTCGTGTCACAGCTGGCTCGCCTCTACCCCGCACCCACACTGCTCCATCGCCTCCCTCCCTACAGCCTCTGAAAAGGGGAACTCTAAAAGAAGAGAGGAGAAGTGAAATGACAATGCAACAAAGGTCTCACACAAATGCTGCGAATGAACGCACTTTTGCAATAGATCTGTCGGGTGCAAAATGGCCCTCGGCCAAAAGCAAAGAACTCCGTGTTTGCTCAGCAGCAAAAGACAAAGATCCCCGTATAGCCTTAACATACTGTTGGGGCAAGTGCTCTTAGTGGGCACCTACGAAGGCCGGAACAGCACACGAGGTGGTGGGTGGCCAGCACCACGACCGGGCCGCCTTTCTGTCCCCAGTGGCGCTGTTTACACACCGCAGCAGGTATTCATTTGAGGCCGAGTCGACCTAGGGGGAGGGCCTAGGAGCCGGTTTCAGATATTCGTCACCGTCGTTGGCCGTGAGTGAGAATCGAACTCGGGTTCGCGGGAAGCACGAACCCGCTACACTGCCGCTCGCCCCCTCGGTGAAGCGGTCACCTCTTGACATCATTCCTCTGAGGCCACAGCAAACCTGGCCGCGGTCACGTGGCGCCACCAATTTGCCCGTGCTCAAACCGGACCGGGCGGCAATCCTCTCTGTCTCTCTCTCTCTCGGGGGGGCCGCAGGTTTGAGCTTCTCAGTCATCGACGCCTCTCACGGGCGTGCGAGTTTCGCAAAGCCCTCCCTCGCTGCGTAACCCAAAAAAAAACCACCCTCCTCCACGCACGCACGCGCGCACGCCCCGGTACGCACGCACGGCACGCGCGCACGCACGCCCCGGTACGCACGCACGGGCACGCGCGCACGCACGCCCCGGCACACACGCACGGGCACGCGCGGGCGGGCGCTAGAACGCCCGCGCCTAAAAACGCCGGCCGCCCGAGCCGGTCCGAAGGAGCGCGGGATTTTGGTGCGGCCACTCGGCGCCACGGGTGGGATGGACAAGAGAGTGTTCTTGTTTTACACGGATTTCCAGCAGGAAAACCCCATCGTTAGTGTGCAAGTGAAGCACCTGGCTCAAGTACGTAACGACGAAACCTCGCGTTTGTTTTCCTCCACACACTCCCCCACCCACCTCACCCCCCCCCCACTGTTCCAGTTCGCCAATCTCGTTCAATGTCAGCTGGCACTCACATAGCCCCCGCACAAATATAATTTACACAAAGTTTCATCACAACTGCCTTTCGCTGCTTCTCTCTGCCAAAAGGGCAGCGGTCGTATTATAAGTGTGATGTGCGCATTGAGCAGTTCAGACCGCGAATAAAATAAAAAATTACCTTAATTTGAAGTGATGGCGATTGTAGGCTTGTTGGCCCAAGTGCTGATGTTTCTCTCTCTCTCTCTCTCGCGTGTCAAAACTACTTCAACTCTCTCACATCGGTAGATCGCCCACGTCTCAAAAGTGTGCTTCACACTTATGGGTCTTTTCTCACTCACAGCGTCAGCTTTCTTCACCTCGCGGATGCGTCTTCAGAATGTCATGCCTGTTTTGCAACATTTCGACCGTGTAATTCCACGTCGATTCTTTGTCCACCACGGTGGACTGTGGTCTCCATGTTATGCGATTTGGGCTGTTTTCACAACAGACGTCCATACAATTTTTTTTACAAAATTGTTAAAGTACGTATCATTAATATGTGCATAAATGTTATCGCTTAAAGGCATAACATTCTTTTTTTAAGTGTATGTTAAATAAAATGAAAGGCTACGGTGGAGTGTCAGTAACTGGTAACGGGGGTGTTTCCTGCTTACTATTGGCCTTAGTTTCCACTGCTATTTTTCGCCAAAAGCACCAGCGAAAATGTCGTTTTGATATTTGAAATCAGCACAATTAAAACCGGTTATTAATTAAATAACTAGCCCCCACCCACGCCAATTTTTGGGGACTCAGCATCAGATGTGTGTAGGTTTTGTATCCTAGAATCTGATGTCATATACCATGTCTCCTCAAAAAACATGGGTGCATATTCCCGCGTCCACGTTCAAATGGCGTTCGCATTTTAAAAAAAAATTAATGACCGCACTCCTACAAGCTCAAAAATGTAACAGAATGCGAAGCATTGTTGACTTGTTATTAGCAGTATAACAATGATGTGCAAAGTGTCATGTGCCAGACAGTCCCAGTTTAGTATTAGACTCCCTGTATTCATAGTCTTGCTTAGAATAATATCACAGGAATTATAAAAAAAAAAAAAATTTCGGTGTTCATTAAGGTGTTCAAAATGGTTTTGAACATCGTGCATAACTTATACAATCTTCGGAATGATCATTTGCGTTGGGCCTGAAGCGAATTGCTGCAGAACACTGTTAAAGTGTGGCTGTCGTGACTTGGCAGGTGAGGCCGATGTGCATCCAGTTGAAGGAGGAAGAAGACCGCAAGAAGAAGGAGGAGGAGATGAAGAGGGCCCTGCAGGAGGCCGAGAAGATGGTGGAAGACCTCAAGGAGCTCACAGAGAGGGTGGCCACGTTGGAGACCGAACGCAATGTCCTGCAGGAGCAACTCGACGCTGTGAGTTCATCGTCCGTCCGGCCGGGAATGCAAATCCACGGTGCCATGAAGGAAGGCCATATGTACGTGTACGTGTGTTGAACTTCTTTCGTACCGTACGTAGCCAACCGTGCACGCCGGACGTGCGGTGGAAGGACAACAAACTAAACACGAAAAGCAGTTCTAAAGGAATTAGTTTGTAATCTATAATTAAAAGTTCGTAGCTTCAGTGGCTTCCTAATCAACTGATTTTTGTGTTCAGTTTGTGGTCCTTCTCCGCACCTCAGATTAGCACAGTTTGCTACGTACGGCGCGAAAGAAGTTCAACATACGTACGTTCATCGAGGGCAGAACCTTGTTGCCCCTTGGAAACCAAATATTGGAACGAAACCTGTAAAGTATTATGAGAAACGAAGACTAACAGTGACGTACCCATTACTACTGCTGGGCGCATAGAGGGGTGGGGAGATTTAAGAAATGTTCCGATTATTTTAATTGCTGTGCCAGGAGATCATACCAGCGACCTCTGGATTCGCAACCCCAGTCTGCTAACCACTACACCCACGGCAGCAGCGTATTGTCAATGACCTCCAAATAATTAAAAGCATCGTTAAAAGTGTCATTTGCAAATTCATCCAGGACTATAGAATTCTTAGCTGTGAACGTGTGAATCGAGTACATGTTTACATTTGCATGTGCGCACACACGCATGCATGCCCGGTGTGCATTGCAAGCATGTGCACTTTGGTATTGCGTGCGGCGATCGGCGCTGGATTCTCGCTCGCGCTCTCTGCTCCGAGGCCGTCAGGCGACCCGTGCATGCTCCCGCAAGCCGTGCGTACAGCGCGCACTGTGCGATGAACCCGGGACAGAGAAGGGATGAGAAGAGCTTTCATTCTTTTTTTGTGTGTGTGTGTGAGGCCGGAATGTTTTTCGAAACATTCCTCAGCGTCTGTGTGGTCTCATCTCCATCACGGTCCGTACGGACGTTAATATCTCGTTGGCTGAAGGATTACCTGCACGCGAACATATCTTCAAGTCACACTTTCTCCACGTAGTAAATTAGGTGTCTATTTGAATTACTTAAGGTAGCTGGGCTTTGTTTTTTGCAAGAAATATGGAATTATGTGTTTCATGTTGGAGTGTAAGCATTTGTGCATGCTGACACATATTAAACACGTTTTTTATGTTCACTCGACGTATTAGTCTTATTTATGCATCTAGTTCTAAATGGTCACATTTCACAGTAGCTTTTATTGACAGCAAATCATCCCAGGAGTGAAAGAGAATTCGTTTTAAAATGAAGGAGCTCTTGTTATCAGTTGCATTGTCATATTTCTCTACAATTCACTTTTTTGTTCAATGTCAAGGTTAATTTTTGTGGCATCCTTCAATGGAATTAGGTAATAAAAGTTATAGTTTTGGAAATAACGGTATTTTAAATATTAAACTGGCAATCTGAATTCACTCTTGTAACTCATTAATCACAGGTATTCTCCAACATTACAGTAAATGTCCAGGACACCTTCACTTGCGGAATCACATTTACCCGGCGATGTCATACGTTGAAAAGATGTAAAGCCACTGGCATGTTTGTTATTGAGAAATGACTTGGAGGGGAATGGCAGTGCAGAAGGATGGCTATCTGTCTAGAGTCTGGGGGTGAGTCCGATGCGATCTGTCGTAGGTCGCTCGAATTCGCATGCCCCATGTTTTGGCTGCCAAGGAATGCCACGTGAATGATGTTTGATAAGAGATCCCCCTTTTTGCGTAGCAGATATGAATTGTAAACTGGATAAGACTCTCGGTGACATGTGGAAACCGTGAATGTTCACATGGGGCAAGCAGAAGCCCTCTTGCATGCTGTCGTGTAGAACCTACAACAATTGTTTCATGATTAACCAAAGTCAGAAGAAACATAAAATATATATACGGGACATTTTTGGCAGTTTACAAGATGTTGAAAAATAATAGTTTTTACCTATTATTTTTACCTGTCCTTATTAATCAAATATTTTTTTAAAATAAGAATAGATTAAAACCTGTTCTTAGGTTTTACCTATTCTTAATCAGATGTAAACAACTGCTCGACCTGAGTTCTAAGTGTTCTGATACTTACAATGTCTTTGTACCATTCACTTTTTGGCATTCGCTGATATAACACTGCTGAGACAAGGCCATTACGTCTCCGGTGTAGGCACATCAGTTTAAAAGACAATGCTTATAGTATAATCGGAGCGCGTTTGTTTGC